CAGTAGGCCACCCCATTTCAGCTCTTGCCCTACTCACCGCTCCGGTCTCATCTTTCAGAGTTGAGATGCGCCCGCTCAGAAGACTACGGGAAGGGGAAACAAAGCAGGTGTCAGGGGCCCGGGAGGGGAGGTGATTGAGCGGTGGCAATTAGGGCTCTCCACAACTTCCCCTTCCAACCTGCCCCAAACTCGCTCTCCCGTTCACCTGGAGAAGAAGGAGTCTGGGATCCAGGTGAGAGTCTGGCGAGAGGTACTGAATCTAAGCGGGTAAGGTAAGTGGACGCAAGACACGACGACGGTGAGGGAGCGAGGAACCGTGCGGACTCGCGCCAAATCCAGTGGGTCCTCCCGTCTCCCAGGTGTTTTTCCAGGCTCCTCGCCTCCAGCAGAGGGCGGAGCAACTCTTGATGGACAGGGATTCCCCCCAGGAGAGGCGGGTACTCCCACCACGCGCCCAGCTGCCAAGGGTGAGGCCTAAAGGAGTTTCCCACACTCACCTCTTGCCTCCCACATTCAGATGAATCACTTCCCCAGGAGGCCCGCGAGCCGGGACCCCCTCGGCGGCAGTAGCCACCGCAGCCATGGCCCCCGGCGAGCCAGAAGGCCTGCGCCCACTTCCGGGTGTGTACCTAAACCCCGCCCTCACCGCGTCTTCATTGGACCAGAGACTCCCCGAGACACCGGCGATTGGACAAAGAGCTTGCTCATCGCAGCTAAGTTCTTCGCCTCCTTAAAGGAGCCGGCCTTTCCTGGCTTTTGACAGGGCCAGGGTGGGCAGGGCAGTTCCTTCGGGGAAGTTGAGTTACTTCTTCGGCCCATTTTAGGTATGGTACTAGGTGACTTGTCCATGTGCATATATTTAGAATCCAAAATTAACCCATACCACAGGGTACATCTTGATGTTCTCTGAATCCCACTCCCAACCCCGACACCTGCCCATCCTTCCATCCTCACGGGGGGCAGCCCAAGAAATGCAAACAAACCAGCATAGACCGTCAAAGCCAAAGGGTTTATTATAGGTACATACAGTGTGCGCCCGCCACACCGTCCCACACCCCCGGGCCCCAGCGGCTTCTCCAGGCGGCCATGGGGGGCTGCCCACAACCCAGTTCCCCCAAGTCCCAGGGAGGTGCTCCAGCCAGAAGCATGCAGGGGGGGGAGGGCTTCCCCTCACCCCTCCCCTCGTGAAGTGTCATTTACAGTGGAGGGGGGAGGAGAGAGGAAGACAATTTTGAGCTTTGACGCCCCTCCCGTTAAAAGCCTTCGCGGATGCGGGGCGGGGGGAGGGGGAGGTCGACGTTTTGCAAAAATAAACTAAAGAATTAACCACATGGCTCTGAGGCGACAGAGTGAAGGGGCTAGGGCCCTTCACTCCCCCCTCCCAGACAGAGATCAAGGCAGCATTGGAAGTGAGGTAAAGGCAGGGAGGGACTGTCCCCTCCCCACCCCCTAGCACCCTGGATGGTCCAGGGGACCTCACCAGCGCCCCCGTGCCCATCCTTAGGGCGGAGAGGAGGCCAGGAATTATCGCCCCCACCACCCCAGCTTCTTGGGGCAGGATCTGCAGATAGGGGCAGGGGGTTTGGCTCAACTGGCCCCCTATCCGCCCCCACCAAGCTCAGTTATTGCATAAAAATAATGGAGCCCCAGCACCTGGGGTAGGGATGTTGAGCGGGAAGGGGCCGAGATATGGCTATAGGGGTAGCAATCCCCCCACCACATTTTGGGGTGCAGGAGAAATCCCCTCCTTTCCAGTGCCCATCGTGGCGCGACCGCAGTGCTGGAACTAGGGACCCTGGCCCTGCCCTTGCGGAAGAGAAAGTGTCTTTGTGCCCACAGTGCAGAGAGGAGGGGCAGGGAGACTTGTCAGGTCCTGGGGGTAGGAGAGTCACTTCCGGCGCCCGCTGGCTCTGCGCTCCCCTCCCTCGCGCTTGGGGTTGCCTTCGTCTGTGGAGGACGTTGTGGGTAGTGTCTGGCCCCAGCGTGCAATCTCTGCGTGTTCTGTCACTGAGGCAGCTACAGCTTCTAGCCAACCGTTCATCTCCTCCTGAAGGAAGAAAATAGGGCACAGAGTCCATATTTGGAAGAGAGAAAATAGAGTAGTAGATCAATCTTGAATCAGACTGCCTTCTCTGAACTTCAGTTCCTTTCTCTATTAAATTGGGGTAATAATGAGGATGCAAATAGTTAAATAGCATGTGCCAGGCTCTGTCTCAGCACTTATGTGGATTCATTCACTCAAACTTTTGCAATATGTAACTCCCACTACAAAGGTAAACAACAAAACCTGGGATAAGTACATTGTCCAAACACAGAGCACAGACACTTACCAAGCAAGGTGCTAAGTGCTCTACATGTATCAACTCATTTCTCACAGAAACCCTATGATAAGAAACTATTTTTATCTCCATTTTACAGATAAGTAAAAGGAGGTAGGCAGAGGATAAGGCCTACTTCATAGCTTCCTATAAGGACTAATTGAGATAAGAAGTGTTATTTATTATTCTCAACATTTCCTGAAACCACTTCCATGCCTGATCCTTCCCCCTGACCTCACTCCTTAGCCCAGTTCCAATGTCCATTTTTGTTCTCATCTATCCTACCTCTTCCCTCCTTTCCCCACAGGCCTGCATGTTCCAATTCTGTGCTTTCTTGGGTCCTGCCCAACTGCTGGACAGGCTCCCCAACCCCACTGTTACCCCCTTCAATCTACCCTGAACATGGTAATTAAAAGGATCTTTATTACCCATCACTTCAACCTTCCTTGGCTCAAAACTCTGCCATGGCTCCCCAGTGCCCTTATAACAAAAATTCAACCTCTTCCAAGTGGCTCATAACAGGCTGGGAGATTCAGTTCCTGGGATCCTTTATGGTACCATTTACCTCACTCCTTGAACTCTGTCCTCCAGCTATTAACCTTGGACTTCACCATCAGGGCCTCCTGAACTCCTCTTCACTACTCCTGGCTTAGGAACCTCCCCTCTGGGCTCTCACTGCCCGTAGGCTTTCCCATTATATCCCTGAGAATTTTTGTCAGTGTGTTTCCCTTCTATAGTCCATTACTCTGGACCAGGAGCCAGCCAGGCAGTTATGTCATTTTGAGGTCACATATGGGGTTGAAAGGACCAGATCTCACCTCATCTTTAGCCTGGAGCAAAAATTCACTGCCATCCTGGGTCCTACAAGAGAGAACATAGGACTTGAGGAGATCCCAAGAGGCCAAGCCCCAGCTCCCAACGCAAATGTGCTCCAAGGGAGCCAGGGTCCTGCTGGGAGGGGAAGTTGGGCCTGGAATCCTTCCCTCCTGCCCACTGAGGGACTCACTGGAGCTTGAAGACATGCTTCTTTTTCTTGTAGTCACTAGCCACCTCGCTGGTGGCCTTGTGCAGGCTGAGCAGTGGCTCCCCACCATGTGTTCCCCCTGATGCTGGGCCTTTGGAGTCCTTGTAGAAGCCCAGCTCCCCCTTGCTGAGGACGCAGTACAGGCTCACCCACGACCTAAGGTAACAATACAGGGCTCAAGGCAGAGCTGGAGCACTCTGAGCCAGTACTCTTCATTAACATATTCATGGCCTAAAAGTGCTGAGACTTCCAACCTCTGGGCCTTTGCCTTAGCCAGTGAGGCCACATGACCAGGAGGCTCTTCCTTATGGCTGTCCCTGATCTTAGCCTGATCTAAGAGGTTCATCTAAAATTCCCAGAACCAAGCCTTCACCCAGGCTGGCCACTGTTGGGCTTGCTCTTCCTTTTCCTCTCCATACTGAATTTCCTGAAGGCAAGACTTATCTCCTATGTAGCTTTTGTTCCACTCATCCCACACAAACCCCTACCCCATTCCTCCACCCCTACGGAGTTCCTTCAAGGAAAATCTATTGGTTTACTGTTTGGAATGAGGAATTCCTGCTCCCTATCTAGCCAAAGCCCCAATCCAGGAGAAATTTATCTTAGATTAGAGCAAAATATACCAGATGCCCCTGTTTATTCCCACTTTGGCCTAGGGACAAGGAAGAATGACTCCCTCCATACCCCATCAGCACAGTCTGAACCGGCTCTGCCCACTTCTTGTCTTGGGTCTAAGCCTCACTCCACTCACTGGCCAGCCTATCCTGTCTGGCTCCACCTGTCCCCAGAGTCTACCTCCAGTTGGCCAAAAATGTGTTGGACAACCAGAAACTGGAATCCAAGAGTAAACACACACACACACACACACACACACACAAACTGTTAAGCCCTCATTTGGAAACCTATTTCAGATTACCCCAACACACTCCACTCAGCCGAGAGTTCGGCACCGCCCCTTCTCATACACACCTTCCCCACTTAAAACCATCCCACTCTGGGTGGATGAGATTTTGAGGCTCAATTTCGCACAACACTGGCACTTGATTACTCACTCCAGCTTACTCCTCAGCTGTACTCAGCTCCTGGGTTGGTCGCTATAAGAGTTGGGTCCCAATTTGTTCGCTTTCACATTACCGTCCCTCTTCCGTTTAAGCTCCCCTACTCAGCCGGAAGACGCCTTAATCCTACACCGTGCCCCTCTCGTACCCAAGTTGGAATCCTGGAGGTTGAGCCCCGCCCTCCCTTGGGCTCCAACCTAACCCCCGCCGGTGGGAGTTTCTGAAGATGAGCCCGCCCCTTCCCTGGCCCAACTATTCGCTCATTGGACACTCTGCACATGGCCCCCACCACCATTTTCAAAGCCCCGCCCACGCGCTCACCGGTTGGAGGACTTGCGGTTAGCGTCGAGCTCGCGCTTGCGCAGCAGGAAGCCCTCGTGCTGCACTGTGTGAGTGGGCGGTGGCGGAGGCGCGGGGGCGGAGCCTCCCTGGGCCGGGGCGGAGCGCGAGCGCCGGCTTCCCCCGCCCTCACCACCCTCTCGTGGCCGCGGCCGCCGTCGCGGCTTGGGCCGGTCCCGCGCCCGCGGCCGATCCGGCCGAGGTGTCCGCTCGGGCGGCTCAAGCCCGTTGGGCAGGCGGCCAGGGGGAAGCTCGCGAGGCTGAGGCAGCGACGGCTGTGTGAAGGGAGGGGGAAGAGGGGTTCTGTCCATGGGGAGGGGCTTCTGTCTGGGGGAACCCGTGGGTCTGGGGTCCCATGCGTCTGCAGGGTCATCTGTCTTGGAGGCGAGTATGGGAGGACTTCTGGGCTGGAGGCCCAACGAGTCTTGGTATCGGTTTGGACTTCCTCTCGTGGGAGGAAGACGCTACATCTAAGAGGTTGGGATGCAAGGAATTCCTGTGGGGAGAAATCTGGGCCTTCGGTGTGTATGTGGCCATCTATGATGAAAATTGGGACCCCGCTGGGCGGGGAACTAGACCCTATTTATGTATGTGTGGAGGGGCGGGGGAATGGAAGGGTTTCTTGGATCCGTGGTCCCATTTTTTAAGGGAGAAATTTTCAGAATTGGCAGGATTTCTGGGGGTCCTGAGAGTCCACGCTGACTCTGCAGGGTCCAGGTAGGAGGATGGGCTCAGGGCAAGGCACTGGTTACTTCTGAGAACCTGACTCCTGCTCTGAGAGGGTGTCCTCATACCCCCACCCATCCTCTGGTTCAACTTACCACCCCAACCGGGAGCCCTGGGCCCGCCTCTTTCTCCTGCAGCTGCTCCACAATGTCAGCCAGGGTAGCCTTCCTGGGGGAGGAGGGGACAGAAAGACCCAGTGGAACTCAGATGCCTTCTCCCAGGGACCTTCTTGGCTGTACAGAGGAGGCTTCATGCCTTATCCTGAAATGCCAAGACCTTGTTCACTTCTCAGCTGTCCTCTGCAGATATGCACCTTATACCCCATGAGTGTCCCAAGCACTGCTGCTGAATGGAAAACTGAGCTCCCCCCACTTTTGAGTTTTAAGCAGCATAAAAGCAAACTAGTTCCTTCAAGCTTTTGAACACAGTCACATTTCTGCATCTGCCTCCTGAATTACCAAGTCTTCTGGACTTTCCCCCATCCCCATTCTGGGTCATCACTGTCTGGTAACAAGTCTGTTTCTCCCACTAGACTGAGTGTCATGAAGGTAGGACTGGGGCTAATTTGGTCACTGTTATCCCCAGCACATGCCACCCAGACACTTGCAAATGTTCATGAAACAGGCATTTTTTAAAGGGTAAAGAAGTCATTGTTTCCTGTCCTCTGGGGACATAGCAGGTTGGACTAATCTGCATATTATACTCTTGTTAACATTGGAATCTGAAAGACCTAGGCTCCAGCCCTGATTTATACAAGTTGAATGACTGGCCCTCTTTGTGTCTCAGTTGTCCTATCCATTTAATGACAATGACAATATCCCCCAATTCATAATGCTGTTGAGAGTTGTAATAAAGGGCCTTCTCTCCAATTAAGGCAGTGATGGTTCCACCCAGTGGAGAAACATAATCAGTGCAGAGGACAGAATTCAGACCAGGGGACACCCAGGGGATTTGATGCAGGACCCAGTAGCTGAAAAACTGCCCCTGGAGGAAGGCACACTACACTGTCTTTTCATTCTGCAGGAAGAGCTGCCCTGTGGAACAATGGGCATATCTGCTACCCTCTTTCAGCCTCAGTTTACACCTCTGCAAAGTGGATACCAAGAAGGTCTGGACCCAGAAGCCTCGCCATTGGGCCTTCTCGGCTGTTGGTGCTCTTGCTAATCCCCTTCCCTCTCCCCGGATATGAGGGGCCTCACCCTTTGGCCAGCTCTCCTCTTACGGGCGTCTCCTGTTCGCTGGACTCCTGCCGCTCCAACCGCCGCTCGCGCCGCTCGCGCCGCCTCTCCATCTGCTCATAGCGGCCCAGTGTAAGGCTATGTGCCACCTCATGCTCCGCGGATTCCTGTCGTTCTGGTCTCCTCCTCCGCGCAGACTCCTCGGGTTGGTCAGCCGATTCTTGGCGCTCTGGCCGCCGCCTCCGGGGCAGCTCCTCCGTGCGATCCGCTGATTCCTGGCGCTCTGGTCTGGGCCGGACCTGCTCCGCAGCCGCAGGGGTCCCGGGAGTCTCCGCTGCAATGTTCTCCGGTGCGGCCGGAGGGGCCGCAGGCTCTACCCTCCCGGGGACCTCCGGCAGCCGGTCAATGCGCGGCTGGAGGCGCTCGGGCTTGAGCTCCTGGCGCACGTACCCCACCCGGGTCCGCACCTCGGCTGACAGCGTGTCCGAGGCCCGGCGGGCCAAGGGCTCCAAGCCCCTTTCATAGCCCCCTGGCCGCAGTAAAGGTGCCGCCTTGGCCGCCAGTTCCGTGGGGTCCCCAAAGAACTTGCGCCCCAGCAGGGGAGTGGGTGGTTGCTTGCTTTGTTCTGCCTTGATTTTCTCAATCTGGGGACAGAAGGACCAGAGACAGGATGGGGCGGGAAGGTGCGGAGAGTGAGTGGTCTGACAGGCACTCTGGGTTTTCTGCTTCACCTCTAAACCTATTAGTTCCTTGAAGAAACAAGATGCCCAACGCGCTGCCCCACTTTCTGCCAGGAGCTTGATCCCCGATCTTCCTGCAAACACCTCTTGCTCTTGTAGGAATCAGCTAAATCAACGTTTTCTCTGGGTGCTTTTCTAAACTTCTTTCTTCTTTAATGTTTCCCACCCAGGAACTCAAAAAAACTTTTTATTACAATGGTCTCTTTGCCTCATCTCTTGCCACCCATGTCCTGGGGATTGAACTCAGGATGCTCTACTACTGAGCTGCATATCCAGGCTTTATTATTATTATTATTATTATTATTGGGTACCCGGGATTGAACTCGGGGGCACTCAACCACTGAGCCATATCCCCAGCCCTATTTTGTATTTTATTTAGAGACAGGGTCTCACTGAGTTGCTTAGCCCCTGGCTTTTGCTGGGGCTGCCTTTGAACTCAGGATCCTCCTAATCTCGGCCTCCTGAGCCCCTGGGATTATAGGCATGTACCACCTTGCCCTGCTTATTGTGTTTAATTTTGAAACAGGGTCTTACTAAGTTGTGGAGGCTGGCCTTGAACTTCTGATCCTCCTACCTCAGCCTCCAGAATCACTGAGGTTACAGTCATATGTCATAGCACTCTGCATTTCTTAACTGTGTTAAGTCTCAGATGGGACTCTCCCAGACCAGGGCAAACATTTCTAGGCTCCCATGGTGCCCTATGCCTCCCCCATTCTAGCCCTTAGCCCTCTGCCTGTACTTCTGCATCACATCCCTGACTCTCTGTACTGTCATTGTCTAGTGTCAGGTCTGTCCCCCAGCCCCACTGGGAGCACAGTATAGATCTCTTAGCCCTCATTCAACAAGGGACTAGGCACCAAGTCCAGGTGTGTCTCTCTCATGCAGGATGGGTGTGGGGCAGGAGGGCAGGATCTGGAGTGCTCACCGTAGTCAGGCGTCGCAGAGAGCTGAACCTCTCTTCCCAGGCTGCGGCTGCCTTGCGGAAGGCCTCGTGTCTCCGGATAAGCTGCTCTACCTCATCCACGCTGCTGCCCAGCTCCCGGCTCTGCAGGAGTGGCTCCTGGGCTGTCAGCCAGGCATCAGCCACCACTGCCTCCTGGGCAAACTGATGCACTTCCAGCACTAGGGGCAGACACGCAGGGTAAGGGCACTGGGAGCACACAGGGACCATTTTGGGGGCAGCAATTGTCCTCCCTGGCCCTCCACACCCTGCAGGTTCCCCATCCCAGTCCTGACCACTCTGGGCTCTGCAGGAGTAACAGGGGCTGGGGTTATTTTGAAGGTCCCAGTTTCTCCCCTAGGAGTCTGCCATGAAGGATTCAGTGGCACCCCGTCATCCACCCTCCCAGGCCTTTATGTGCGCTTCTTGGGTGGTGTGCAAAATGTGGTCATGTCATCCTCTGGGCCTTAACATGCTGGAGCATGTCTTTGTGTCCTTGAGCCACATGTGTCTGGATCCCCACTCACTCTGCTGCAGCCACTCCCAATGGCGGTCCCATTTGTCTGACACCTCCTCCTTCCTGGTTCCCAGTTTGTCCAGCTGTGCCTGGATCTGGGTGTGGTGGGTGGGTGGGAAGGGGTGTCAGGGGTGGCTTCCACATCAAGGAACCTGGGGGGCAGAAGAGGACCCCAGGTGCCCCTCCCTACCTCATCAGCCATAGCACTCTTGTTGAGCAGAAGGGAGCGCCCCAGCTCCTGGCAGGCAGTCAGCTCAGGCACCCGTGCCTCCAGCTCAGTCTTCAGGCCCTGGTGGTAGTTCATGAGCACCTCCACCGATGACACATCCCTACAGTGGGCAGTGACAGGGATTTGAGCCACTAGAAGTCAGCCTCAGCCCAACCCATATATGCAGTTCCCATCAGTTCCCTTGAGGCTGATGCTTCATGGCATCTCAGGATACCTACCTTCTATGGCCAAGTTCTGAGGGTCCAGTGGTCTTCACTAAATCAATGATTCCAATTTTCCAAGGTGTCAAAGTTTCATACTTGTGATTCTAACCTTCTAGGATTTCAAAGTCCAATTTTTCTAACTTGCTAGAGCTATGCTTGTGAAACTTCCACCAGCTGATGATTCTAACCCTACAACTCTGTGCTGTCCAGTGTGTTAAAAACTAGACACGTGTTGCCACTTGAAATGTGGTAGTTCTGAATTGATGTGTTGAAAACGTAAAGTGCACACCAGATTTTGAGGACTTAGTATAAAAATGAATACAAAATATCTTATTAATGTTTTGTTTTGTTTTTGAGATGGGGTCTTGCTATGTTGTCCAGGCTGGTCTCCAACTCCTGGGTCCAAGCTGTCCTCCAATTTCAGCCTCCTGAGTACCTGGGACTTCATGCCCATATCACCACTGCCAGTCTAACTAACATTAATTAATGTTGATTTTGACTACCTTGAGCACATAGGGTCAACCAATATGTATAGCTGCCTAGGCACAGTGGCATATGTCTATAATCCTAGTGACTCAGGAGGCTGAGGCAGGAGGACTCCAAGTTTGAGGCCAGTCCCAGCAATTTAGTGAGATCCTGTCTCAAAACAAAACAAAAAAAAAAAATAGAAAGGGCAGGGGATGTAGTTCAGTGGTAGAGCACTCTGAATTCAGTCCTCAATACTGTGCAAAAAAAAAAAAAAAAGTATTGTTGCCCAGCAGGGTGGTGCACACCTGTAATCCCAGAGACTCAGGAGGCTGAGACAGGAGGTCAGGGTCAAGGTCAGGCTCAGCAACTCCAGGAGGCACTAAAGCAATTTAGCAAGACCCTGTCTCAAAAAGGGCTAGGGATGTGGCTCAATAGTAAAAGCACCTCAGGGTTCAATACCCAGTACAAAAAAAAAAGAAAAGTATTGCTAAAATTCATTTTAATTTGCTTCCTTTTACTTTGTTAATGTGGTTACAAGAAAATTTTAAATTATATATGTGGCTCACATTTGTGGCTTGAAATATATAACTATTGGACAGGACCATTGTAAACGATCCAATGTCCAACACAAATTCTAAATTTCTGAAGGTTCCACCAGTTAGCAATTATAGTTTTATAATAATGTGTCCAAACTTATTTCTGAAGGCCCCACATTGTAATGAACTTTAATTTTAACATGTCAAGTGACCTTTCGGATTCTGTCCATCCCACAGATGTGCTCTCTCCTCTCCATTTCAGTAGATTCATCTATCATTCATCCATGACTAGTCATTTCCTTTTCCCTCCCCCCCTGACCATCAGTGAAGACTGGACACTTATAATTTTAAAATATATGCTGTGAAATGATACAAAGCCTGAGATTTGTTTTGAAACAACACAGCATAAATGGAGGGAGAGTAGCTGAAATGAGACTGGTAGGATGTTGATTATTCTAGTCACATGTTCTCAATACCCATGCAGCTTCACTATGTTGTTATATCTACTTCTGTATATTGGATACTTAAATTTTCTCATCACGAAGACATTTTAAGTCTGAAAATTGGGATTTCTTCTTCATCTTGACATAAACACCACTCTGGCTCAAGCCACCAATGGCTCTCGCCTGGACCAGCCAGGCTGGTCTACCTGTTCCTCCCTTTGCTTTTCCAGTCTATTCCCCACTGATGTACTTTTCACCTTCCTCCCTGCTCTGAACTCTCCCATGGCTGCCAACTCAATCAGGGAAAAGGCAAAGCTTTTCCTGGTCTCCAGGGCCCTACTGGCCCTCTGGCCTCACTTTCTGCCACTCCTCACTCCTCCGCCTTTCCATCCCTGCAGCCATGGTGAGACTCTGGCTCCTGTTCAGACATGCTTAGTCCACCTTAGGGTCTTTGGAAGTCTCCTTCTCCCCCAAACCTAACCTGACTCACCTAGCACTTCAGTCAGGTCTCCCTCCACTCAAACATCCTATCCTCAGGGAGATAATGCCAGTGTCACCTGGTTCCCTTACCTTGCTTTATGCTTCCTGGTAGCACTTCTCACTCTCTGAAATGATATTAGGGACTTGCTTGTTTATCAATTTGTTGCCTCTCTCCGCCCTTGGAGGACAAGGGCTTGACCTTGTCCACTACATGGCCCACAACAAGTATTCAGTCAATATTTGCTAGGGGCTGGAGAGGAACGGCTCAGTGGTAGAGCATGTGCTTAGCATTGGAGAGGCCCTGGGTTCCATCTCCAGCACCTAATAAATATTCACTAAGTAAATGGATGAAGGCTCAAGGCCTACCAGCACAGAAACAATACCACATGTCACCCTCTCCAGGTCCTTTTCTTCTTGGGCACACTGCTGGTCTCCGCCTTCAGCCTCCCTGGGAGATAAACTGGCTAACTTACCAGCAGCATGTGAGACCCTCCTGCTGTCTTTTTCCCTTTGAGAGGGTTGAGGAAATGACCCCCAGGGCCAAATGGCAGGATCCTGGTTCCCAATTATGGTGGGACAGGTTTGGCTTCTGTTGGACACTGACACCGTGCCACTATGTGAGCAGTAAATCAGTGCCTACTAGGTTAACCCCAAGATATGGGAATTGTCACAGTGTTCCTCCACCCTGACAGAGACCACACCTACCCTGCACCCAACCTGGCCCAGCCCATCCCATACTGTAACACCCGGAGATGGAGGGCAGTCTTAGGCACCTGGGAAGGACAGAGAGCAGGAGGCTGCCCCATGCTCTGAGACCCCAATGCCAGTCCCCAAAGGGGTCCAAATGCACGTGAAGTTTCTAGAACAGTGACAGGCATATGGGGTGCCATGCAGATACTGGCTGTTGTGGTTTCCTATGGGTAGGGGATTGTTGGTGGGCGGGGGACAGCTGAGAGAGGCTGCCAGTGGCACGTAGGAAGCCCGAGGTGGGATGAGGGGCACCTGGGCTTGTCAGCTGCCCCGATCTGGCCCGCGATGCCGTCCATCCAGGAGAGCAGGTCGCGGGCCTGGCTGTGGAAGCGCAGGGCGTCGGCCGTGGAGCTGACGTGCAGGCGGGCGTCCTCGCAGGCTGCCAGCAGCTCTTTCCAGCCCTGCAGCACCTCTTGCTCGCGGCTGGCGATGGCCTCGGCGTGCTCGCCCGCGTACACGGTCCGCAGCTGGGCAGCGCCCTCCTGCAGCTGCCGTACCTGAAGGGTGAGCCACGTCTGGCGGCGGCCCTCCGCCCCGCCCAGGCCCCGCCCAGGCTCCGCCCTCCCCTTCTTGCGAGCGACCTAGGCTCCACCCTCTCCCTCCCCCTTTGCAGGCTGAGTGCGGAGCCTGTT